CAGTATGCACACAAACACACACATTCACACACATAGGCGCGCACACACACACGAGCACATACCTTAGAAGACTTCCTATATTGACACATGTTTAAAATATGGCGCCTACCAGCATTTGGAGGTAGCATCAATCATTCCGACAAACAATGAATCAAGTCCAGACTTATTTAAGCGACTTCATAGGTATTTTTTAGTGCATTTCAAGTGGTACCTCTAATTAATACAGCCACTCAGCGGGAGGTGAAGGTTAGAACTTAAAGCACTCCACTTATAAATGAATGAATGATTAAAACATAGTGTTCTTCTGACAACGACATCAAAGCAAAGTTTACAGTAGATGTTTTTTGCTTGAGGAGAGATTAAGGATCGAAGGTTTCAGGAACATGTTACTATGGCACATTAACCTGCTTGTCTTCATTGAGCAGTAACGGACTGAATGATTTGATTTTAAAATAAATAAACAATCCAGCGAAGTCTTGTGAGACTAATGGTTCGTAATTAGTGTGAACACTATTGGTACCATGATTTTGGGCGATACAAAATGAAAAAGAACGGATTTGAGGAGGACAAAGTTTAGACTTGAACCTTCTCTAGATAAAATCATGCTATTATTGTTATCTTATTAGGGAAGAAGTGGCTATACATTCTTGTCTTGTGGCTTGATGAGAAAATAAGCGTATTACTTACAGATAACGTTAAACAAATCAAATACATTGTGACTACATATCCAATAGACATTCAAACACAGAACTTTAAAGTGTTCTGACTTGAACTAGCCACAATACCAAAAAAAAACCATTGTACTGAAGTGCATTCAAGAGGATTTGCGCACTGCTTCCTGTCTATATGTCACCTTTTCTTACTTTGTTCCAAACTGAAGTGACATTTTGAGTGTGTGGCGCTCAGCAGTGCTCTCAAAAGCAAAAACTGCATGAAAAAAGTGCTAAACACCATGGCAGCTGGACAGACTGAACCCTGTGTGCATGTTTTCTATCAGACACACATATTGTTTTTCATGCATATTTGATATCATACAATTATTATTACATACATTATTATTAGTAGCAGAGAAAATCATCCGAACCACTGATCCTATAGCATCCAAGAGACCAATGTGAAGGAACGAAAAGTCGCCAGGATGACTACCTTTCCTGGTCAAAAGTGAGAAAAATATGCAAAAACTTTCCCATATAAAGATGTATAATGCTCCTTCAAAGAGTGTTTTTATAAGAAATGTCCATATTTAACGATACCAACAATATATCTGCTCACTTTCTCAGGAATGATATGTAAAATGTAATCAACTATCTTTTCCAATGTATATTTGAGAATTTAAATGCAAATGAATTAAGCTGAAGGTGGAACATTGCGAATAAAACAGAAACCGACAAACAGGTGGCAGACTCTCAATTGCGGCAAACCTTTTAGTGATGTTTGCAGATAATTCCCAACAGAACTAAAACATGCCGTCTTTATCTTAATTATAATGTGCGTGATTGTAAGAAAGAGCCCTGTGACTCACTATTGGATGCTTTGGGCTGAGGGCTGGTTGAGGCTGGTCCTCTCTTTTCCACTTTTCTGATATAACAGAGGCCAAGCAATACATGCATGCTAGTGATAGAATCAAACTGATGTGAGAGCAAGGAACTAGTTAGATTACGCATTACAATACATTTTTTGTGGTTACAAGTTGGACACACAAGCTGAAAGTACACACAAGGAGAAGAGTTAAAAAAAATATATATATGCATCGGCTTTTTTGGACACTCAAAGGCGCTCTACATGTCATTATTCATTCACTCCATACACGGTGGTGATAAACTACTACTGTAGCCACAGCTGCCCTGGGGCACACTGACAGAAGCAAGGCAACCAGTCTGTGCCATCGGCCCCTCTGACCACCACCAACAGTTTACACACACACCAGACTCATTCTAGGCAATGTGGGTGAAGTGTCTTGCCTAAGGACATAACGACAGAAGACAGTGGGAGTCGGTAGAGAAAGTCTGATGCTGGGCTCAAACCCACGACCTTCAGGCTCAAAGGCAAACGCTCTACCAACTGAGCCACTGTTGATTTCAGTGTTGCATCACCAGTTGTAGAACAGTAGGAATGAGGAGCACACAGCAAAAGATAAGTAGACAATAACTCTATACTGAAATTAAATTAAATCTCCAGCATCATGGACATTGGTCAACTCCGCCTATAGACCAGTCCTCTGAGTCTGTTGCGATTTAGGGCTATACAAGAATTAATTGAATTGAATTGAATTGAATATAAGATCTCTAGCTTTAGCGTCATAAAGAAGAAAGTCTAAAATCTCCGACTTGAGCATAATAAAGAAATAAGAATGAATCAGAATCAGAATAATTTGTATTGCCATGTAACAGGAAGTCACAGACTAGGAAATTGCTTTGGCTCTATAAAATGTCTGATAAAATGTCTGACTTTAGCATAATAAAGAAACAAGAATGAAGTATAAAAGGTCTGACTTTAGCATAATAAAGAAACACGAAATGAAGTATAAAATGTATTGTACGACTATAAAATCCCTGGACATTTTTTACCAGTCCCACCATTTGCATTTCCACAGAAACAATCATCATGCTCCACTCCTGTGCTCTCTAAAGCTCTTCTAGTGATTCTCAGATGCTGCTGCAGCCCCCTCAGCGTGCAGCGGCCGCCTGTGGAGAGGATAATTATGAGATGAGCGAAGATGGACTCAAAGCGTCGGAGAGCGAGGCAGGTTAAGACGATCTCGGCACACCTTATTCCTCCATCACTGCTTGTGCACTGGCGACATACACATCTTTCCCCGCTGTTAATATTCCCTCCCCTGCCCACTAACGCTGCCGCTGAACCACCTACGCAGTCATAAGGCCACTCAGAACCGGAGTCCTTCAGCGCGCCAAACTATAGTGTTAAATGAGCAAGCTTTTACAGCCTCCGGTCTGCTGTTTTCTGTACATTTCCGAGAATATTTGTCCGACCTTCAATCACTTGTTTAAAGCCCTCCAGCTCTGTGTTCACTAGGTTAGGTCTCTCCGCACAGATGCTGCTGCAGCAGCAGCAGCATCTCCGCACAGATGCTGCTGCTGCTGCTGCTTCTGCTGCTGCTGTTGTCAGGGCAGAGTTAAAAGGCGCAGATCTGATTGAGAGTTGAGTTCCTGGAGTTTAGGCTGCTCAAATGAGGCAGAAATATGCAGGCGTTATTACACAACACATCATTGACTTCTCCTGATGCCTGTCTCTTTCCAACAGTGCTTTTTGTGAGTTGCGCAGGCAGACGCATTTGTATGCTAATTGAGGGTTGGGTGTATATATGAAGCTACATCCACTTACAGTGACAAAAGCAGAGTAATCAGGATGTAAATGTAAATATGTAGGTTTCAACAGTCTCTAAATTACACACACCTACGCCCCCAATGGTTAACCGCAAGGTCTTTCAAAATGATTTCCAAAAGTGCCTATATGTCTATGAGTTGTGTACCTGTATGTTGTGTAAACTACAGCACAAGTTTTATAGCTTTGTAAACCGTTCTTGAGAATTGTGCAATTATACTTGATATTTGGGTTGCCTTTACAGCTAATTACACACAATTATCTTTGTCTGTGTCAGTCCCCTTCAGGCCTCCAACAGAATCAACAGCTGAGAAAGCACGCCATTCTGAATCCAGAGGGAGCACGTAAACCACAAACAAAAGATGCTTTCGTAGAACACACAATTTCATAAGTGTTAAACAAATTAAAAAGCTTGTAATTGTTTAATGTTGAGTCTCAGACGACGCAACAACATCCCAAACTTGTATTGTCAGTGCATAATAATAATTTAAAAGGAGCCAGCAGTGCCCACTGGAACTGCAAACTGCCAAATGCAAATGTAGTGTTCTGGTGTGTTTTTATTTTATTTTTATCCTGGCCACCTCCACTGCCTTTAAGGATGGTCAAATTAACAATTGTTTAAGAAAGAAGTAATGAATAAATCATGAATAAACATCACTTAACTCATACAGAATAAATCAGACCCTTGAAATATAAGTGTTGCTTAATCCATGCTTGTCCTCTCGCTATGTCCATTTCCTTTGTCAGGAGGCAACAAATCAAGTGTTTTTATGTGATAGTCAATAGTACGTCTCCTTCAACAGTAAAAGTAAAGTCTAATTTGTTTGAGATGGAATTTTGAAGGACATTTTCTATCAGTATGATGACATTAATCGTCCATTCATCCAACCATGCATTCAAAAGCACCTACATCAATATCTATTCACTGTCCCGCGGTGCATTCATGGAACATCATATTACCGTGCGTAAAAGCTAAATACAATAGATTCTTTTTTAAAAATAAGCGTAAAAGATCATTTCGAGTGTGTAATGCAGTGATTCAGACGCATAAAGCTGTACATTACCACGGTTTAAAACATTCAAACCGATCGTCCACGTTGTCCATATTCAACGCAGAGACATGACCCGTAGCAACGCACTCTCTAAAAACACTCTTTTTTTTCTCCACCATTTTATTTTTCACATTTTTATTCAAGAGCGGTGCGAATCGGCTCGGGTTTGATTACCGCCGCGCTGAATAGAAGATAGCGGGAATAAAACAAAAGATTCACAAATACACACTACTGCAGGGTCTGTCAGAAAGCAACACTCCTACACACACACGCCCCCACACGACTCGCACAAATCCAACACGCAAACACGCATAGACCGCCGCACAATGGCCCAGGGGCTGCTTTTGAAAATCTCTTCAGCAAAACCATATGGGAGCAGGGAGAAAAAGCAGAGAGAGGGGCAGGTTAGCTTCATATTTATTCATCCGAGTTCATTTGTTTCCCCACAGACACAGACCGGAGCATCAGCAGCTTTTCTGAGGCGCGCAGCCCGAAGGCACCGCTGTCCTCGAGGTGCTACTGGGGCCGCGTAACCTATGGACTTATAGACAGGGGCAGGTGGGAAGGTAGACGGTTTGTGTTGAGGCGAAAAACAGATAAAGGAGATCATATAGGAGAGCCTTCCTCTGATGTCTTTGCTGGAATCTTGCTCTGTGACACACATGGCAACAGATTATTTTCACGCAGCAATAATGAGAAAGGCAAATTGTTTTACCAACAAAATGACTTGCAAATTGAATCCTGCTGACTCCATTTATATTATCATGCAGAGTATCTGAATAAATTACCAAAACGGAAATTTTGTTAATAGGCACTTGATGAGAATGGATGCAGCAGGATTCAGTGGCCACCGTCTGAAATGTCCATGTTATCTTTACAATTTGTACAGCTGTAACAAGGAATCAAATAACAGTAAGTCTATGTCTTTTACTTTTCGACTTTTCCGTTACTGCTGATGGGGTCCGTACCATGGATCTATAATTATAACTGGATAGGGTATTACTATTACTAGCTTAGAGCTGTCCCACCCATGGGCACATGTGGCGCCCGTGGCACTGAAGACTAAATTCAGGCGGGCAACCCAGAAAAAAGACCCATAGCTCTCAATGTAAACTAAAACAGCTCGACCTCAGCTGACAGAGAACCTACAGCTTTCATAAAGATCGGATTTTAGTGTCCCTCGTCATCCTGAACTTTTTTCTTCTTAAATCCTTCAGTTTTCTTTAAATCCACACTTTACTGCCACAAACTCTGCTCCTTTCCTTCCCGCTCTGACTCCGCTCTACCGCTGCTCTGATCAGCAGCTCTGATTGGTCAGAGCACGGCCGAGCCTCTCTGTGCACGTGCATGAGAGCCACACATGCGTATTTGGCGTAACGCATCATGGGAGCTCGTCCACTGCGCAGAACCGGGAGGACCAGACGATGCCCAAATATAGCCTCTGATCCTAGCCTCGGGCGCTGAGTTATCAGCCTTCCTCTGATAACTCAGCGCCCGTGAAGTCCCATGATTCTTTTGTCTGTTACATTGATATATGTAAAATATGCATTGTGCAGGTTCAAAATAAATACAAAATAAATATTTTAAAAAACTTGAGAACTTGAAAATCATATATTGTAGGCAAAGAAATATGAAGTTTATGATTATGATGTAAACTCAGCCAATGCAAGTCAGTTGCTTGTGGCGAGTGTAGATGGGAAGTGTAACGACTGTACATACTGTGGACAATTCTAGGTAAAACCACGACATTTAGATCAGGGATTCCCAATGTGTTGATTGCGAAGGCAGAGTGGGTCGCTCGCATGGCATTCAGAGATTTGGCCTCAAACGTGTGTTTCATACAGGCAGCATGAATGGTGTCAGGTCGCGCCACACGCCACATGGGAGCAGCGCAACATGGGCACAAGTCATCACTGAACTGACAAACAGTGTAAATGATCGTTTCCATGAGTCAAATCTGACCAAACAACAATAAACACCGCCGTGCACCGAGCGCTTATGGCAATTACAACATGAGGTACACCGAGCATTGGTTGTTACACCCGCTACTTAAAACAGGGGGGGGGGGTCTCGGTTCAGAGTTAGGGAACCTCTGATTGAGAATAACCCAACCAAAAAGTACAAAAAGTTGATCCTCCACCAGGAAATGTATAGTGTACCTTAAATGATACTCTTGGGGTTTGGTATGTCATATCTGTGTGATTGTATCTCAGTAGTATTTATGAATCTATTTTGACTGGGATTTTTTAACAAGTTTACACTCATAGTATTTTACAATGAATAGAGATTGAGAATATTTTAACACGTATAAAAACTTTGCCCTGACCGCCTCTTCAGCAGGTGAAATGCTAACAACGATGATGTTTTAAAAGGAATTAAAATGACGAGGAGGAAGGCTAGATACATTTTTAGTTGTTTGCGTAAAGGTGTGTGACTACAACATACTCATTATAGCTGTTTAAAAAAAAAAAAAAAAAAAGATCGCCAGCATGTGTGAGTAAATGTTGCACGCTGTGTGGGTCTGAGCGGACGTAGAGTAGGAGAATAGCGAAGTTGTGAGCGCGCGGGCATCTGTAGGTGGTTCTGACGACCAGCAGCTCCCTTATATAAGAGACGGGAGCAGATTGAGCAGTGATTATCAGGGCATAGGCCACTCCTCAACACCTCTGCATCGCTTAATGCCACAGTGCCAGGGAGGATGCAAAAATGTGGCCAAGAACGCAGGCTTCTGTTCTGTGTGCGCCTTGGAGAACTCCGGCAATTAACTGTACGGCTGCTACTGCTGAATATTAATTAATCAACAGATGTCAATAGTATGCGCCGTTTAAGTCTCGTGCAGCCTGGGGAAGCAAAATAATATACTTCTGCAAGATTCTCCGCTGTTGTTATGTTAGCATCATTTGTGTAGAAGGGAGTGAAGGTACCACATAAAGGTTAATCTAATTTTGGCTAAATAAAAAAGAAAGAACTTACTTTTATACCGAGTTATACATCGTTTTGTGTGCGGAAATTTGAATGGTTTTCATTTTTCTCTTCATGTTGTGCTAGGCAAGGCAAGGCAAGGCAAGGCAAGGCATGATTACTTTTAATGAACAGGACTTTGGATATTTTGATAGATTTTCAAAACTGGGCCAAACGTTAGGAAGGGTTTTTATTGTAGACTGAGAGCTAAATTAAACATTTTAAATATAATGGCCTATTACTAAATTCATTCAAAGTTTAGAATAGATTCAATTATATAGATGCTTTGAGAAAATCAATGCACTACATATTAACTCTTACCATCATCAATGATAAGTTATCAAGAAAAATAATTGAACATTAATTTGGGGGCCACTGTATATGGTTCACAGGCTTGTGTTTAGCGAACCACATTTTTGACGCCCCTGTATTATATAATCAATTTGTTTTCAGTTTCTCTTGAAAAAAAACACAAACTGCATAATTTATGTAAAAACAGACCAAACCCAAATCAATTATTTAAGAAGGAATAATATATATATATAACTATAACTATAACTAGGTGGTCATTTACCACCATAAAAATCATATTCATTATGAAAAATAAATGTCACACTTTGTCCTTATATTGAGCAAGGTCAGCTCATGATTGATATAAAATAAAAGAAGGTAAAATAGTTTTTAATTTATCTTCTTCAAGTTAGAGGCTTTAATCTACATCGTTTTTTGAGGTATTGAGTCAGTTCAATTCAATGTTTTTTTTTGTAAAGTCCTACATCACAACAGAAGTCGTCTCAGAGGACTTCACAAAGTTAACAACAGATCAAACCATTCTAACTCAGGAAATACATGAATAGTAGATACATATGAGCCATTGGTCCACAGGGAGTCCATAAATGTTAACAAATGTTCATAAATGTCCATAAATGTCCCAGATATTCCCTATTCTTAGATCCTTAGATTAAAAAACAAATCCACAGCAGATTTGCAAAATTAACAATATATGAACTCCTATAATTCTTAATGGGCATCAGATTATAAAACAAAATGACAGAGCTCCATCTTACAGAACTGGCTGTTGCATGTGTCAATTTCAATCAAAACACCCACCATTAAAGCAACTCCTGGAGATCAAATATTACAGGTTGTTTTTTTAAATATTAGAGTTGATAATCTCACCTCCCCTCCATGTTTCACACTGGTTTTCACAGTGAGCCAGCCTCCAGATGGAGCCGTACCATGAGGGCCTTCTGGCTGTTCTCTCCCCAAACACCTCCAGCCTTCACCCCATCCACGCCGCTTCCTCATCCGCAGTCTATCGCGAGCAGACAAATATCAAAGCATTCGCCTCATTTTCTGCGCTCATGTTGAAAAGATATCATTTTGTTTACTGAAGTCAATAATTCCCTTTGACTGACGTATCCAAAGTCGATGCAAGAGCGAGACAAGAGATCTTCACGTTTAACATCTGCATTTAATTATCTTTACAATCAGATACAGAATATTCAACAAAAAGTGCTCCTAAAACTAATATGTCCCTTTCTCTGGCCCTCGGCTGATCCTTCTGTTTCTCCCCAAGCCAGAGCATATATAAAGAACAGGAAGGAGGGGAGTGTCCTATCAGCCAGCTTCCGGTCTAGGGTCCAGCCTTTTCCTCCGTCTGCCAGACTCCTGATGGAGTGAGGTTGAAAAGTGCAGAAGTCAGCAGGCCAAGACTAGGGGGGTGAAATCCAAACAGGAGAATCTGTTGTCCAGTTGCTGGCACAAGAAGACACCTAAAATAAAATAAGAAGGACTGGCCTCCCACTTAGAGGTTAGCTAGGTCATAAAACACATGGTTTTAGAATGTCACGTATTTATAAATACAACATTACGTAGTGTTGACTATATATGGACCAAGATAATAACCATGCGTTGTTTATATTTTTGTCTTACTGAAGAAAAAAAAGATGTGCCGAACGCTATAGTTTTGACCAATTGACCTGCTGAGTCATGTGTTTTTTTACAGATAAATAATAAAATAAAATAAAAACAGAATGTAAAGAACAGTGCAGTGCCAACAAACATGAATGAACCACTACAAAACAAATGGGAATGTAAATAATAAAACTCTCTAAAGGCAATTTAACATTATATTTGATATTTCAGATGAATACATTCTTTTGTCCGCACATTCTTTTGTGCAAACACAGAAAATGATACTGCCCATTGCCAGAAAGGTTCATAAGATTACTGTATATTTAATGTCAATATGGTCATTAACGCAACATACTTTTTGTGTAAAATAGCAAAGCATTGCACTTAAAAGTTTGGCTATATTCTGTAAATTCCTCCATTGTGAGATCAATAGAGTTTCTCTTATCTTATCTTATATGATTTGGAATTTTTTGGCAAAAAAAATCCAATGCATGATTTTAGCACAGAAATTAGAATTTGTATATTCAGCCATCAGATTTTTCTCATGACAAACTGCTTCGTTTTCAATGTGCCTCGCCTGAAAGCCTTTTGAATAGCTGTGTCTCTATCACCAATGCTGTCTTTTGATTCGCTGATCTCTTCACAGGAATTGACCTTGAGGAGGAAGTCATTCTGCAGCACACACCCCGACTCTCTCTTTCTTCATTTTGACAGAATATTCCAGTCTTTACATGAACGCAAGAGAATGTTTATGTCCTCGAATCGAACCTGCG